GTCAGTGGGGCCAGAGCTGCAGGGGCCAGCCTCAGGAGCAGAGGCTGTGCTGGTGTCGGGCGTCACGGGCTGCTCTCCTGCGCCCACCCCACCCTGAGCGGGCGGGCGGGGCCCCCTGGGGCTGAGGGCCCGAGCCCTGCGTCTCAAAGTAGGGGCCAAGGCAGGCAGGGCAGGAGCCGTTGGGGTGACACGGCCCTGAGTCGGGCCAGGTCCAGCCTGGCGGGCCCCTCTTCCCCCGCCTCAGCTACCGTGAGCCCCTGGAGCCGGCTCAGCCACGGGGCCCAGGAGCCCCCACGGGTGCCCCAGCAAGCCTGTGCCGCCGTCCAGCCCGGCCCGTCCCTCCTCTCCCACTGGAAACTGCTGTGCCGGACTCCGGACCCCTCGTCAGCTGAGAACCTCGGGCGCCGCGCCCCGGAGCTGGCCAGAGTGGCTTTCTGCAGAGGGGCCTGAGGCGCCGGGTGAGGTGACCGCAGAGGGGCGCCCACCCCAGGCGCCTCAGTCACCTGGTGGACTCCTGCCTGCCACTGGGAGTGCTGGGCGGGGCTGGGCAGGCGCTGCGGCCGCGTGGTGCAGGCTCGGGTGTGAGGCCCTGGGCTCCTGCCCGGAGGCGGAGGCGGGCAGGTGCCACGTACGCACCCCTCCACCTCGGCCCCTGGGCCCCTCTGTGCAGCCCCGGCTGGCTCTGCCCTGCGCTCGGGGACACAAAGCTCTCGGCACCGCCATGCAGTTCGGGGAGCACCCGGGGCGTGTGGAATCGGTGTCCGACACCCCCCACCCGGCGTGCTCAGGCGGGTCAGTGTTCAAGGCGGAGGCCCGAGTGGTCACCACAAGACTTTATTGGAGACAGGAACACACATGAGCCAGCCTGCCAAGCTGTGTGGCCAGGCTCCCTGGTGGGGCCCCAGGGCCCGCCTGCTCCGAAACCCCCATCCGGGGGTCCCACCTCAGCCCTCCAGCCGCTGAGTCCTGCCAGCCGCCCAGGCTGGGGCCAGCCCTCCCCGTGAGCAGACGAGGCTTTTAGGACCTGGGGAGCCCCCAGCTACCTGGGCCACAGCGAGCGTCCTCTCTGGGTCCGTGCGTCCCCAGCTGTGTCGTCGTCCTCAAACTCCGCGGACAGAGGCCCAGCGCCCCTGCCCGGCCAGCGGACACGCGTCCTCTCCCTCCCTGCATGGTGGACGCAGCTGGCACTGTGGATGCTCCTCACTAATCCTCCGAATCATGGGGACAGGGGTCCGCACCCCTGGGGCTCCAGCCCAGCCAGAGGCCGCTGTGCGAGGGAGCAGCGAGGGCCCCAGGGCCCGGGAAGCCCTGGGCTGTTAGTCCGGCCCCAGGACAGACACGAAGCCCACTCACACGCAGCTGCGGGGGACGCACTGGAGGCAAGGCCTTTGGGGGAAGCCCAGGGTCCGTCATCCTCCGGACGAGGGGTGCTCAAAAGTTATGGGGGCTCTGTTTTAACTTTCTGGATGTAGCTGAAATCCGGGGGGCAGGAAATGAGGCCGGGCGCCCTTCTGTGGAAGTCCGGATGCTGGCGTGGGAGATAAGCAGACTCCTGGGGAGACCGCCCCGCCCCACTTGGCTGCCCGCCTCGTCCAAGGAGGGAGGAGAGGAGGGGCTGGCCCCTCGGGGCCCTGGCACCCACCACCACAGCGCAGTGGCGCCCCGGGGTTCCCGTGCAGTGACGACAGGTGACCCTGTGCTCACGTCCCCTCCCCACGGCCCTCTCAGCAGGCCCTTCTTCCGCTGGTCACTCCCGTCTCAGCTGATAGCCGAGCTCCTTAAGGCCAGGGCACACTTGCTCCCCAAGGTCCCGGCTCAGAGCGGAGCGTGGTCCATTCCGCCGAGCGCCGGCCTCTGGAGGGGTCTTTTAGGAAGGGGGTGCTCTGGCCTTGGCTATTCCCACCATGGCCGGATGCTGCGGCCCCCCCCGTGTCGCCAATGGGGCCAGGGCTGGGCAGAGAGGGCGGCTGCTGCTCTCGGGCAGGGGCTCGGGCTCTGGAAGGAAAGGGAGGCCCGTCCAGCCCCAGGCCCAGCGCGGCACACCTGCCCACGGCCGGCAGAGCCTCCTGGCGCAGACACGTCTGCGAATCCATGAACATCCACTCGCCGGAGGCTGTTGATGACACATCACAGGCGCCTGGCACTTTCTAAACAGCAGCCGGCACTTGGCAGCTGGCAGCAGAAGCCACCCTCGGCCGGGCTGCCGGGCCCCGGCCCCTCTGGGCCGCCCACAGCCTGATCTTGC